ATCTTGGGCACGCACGCACACGCGCCCGGTGTGAGTTTAAGCCACCAGATCCGGGACGCGAACCGCGGTCGACTACATGGGAGTCCAGCGACATAGCCATTACGCTAACTGCTGGTTCCAGCTGTGGATGTCCTTAATGAGAGGCTGAGCCAGAAAAACATGAGGGACATTGCAGCTTAGGAGCCTCAGCTCTCTGACTCGAGACTGGGCCCCATCTCGGGTTAGCAAGGTGAGGCAGTGCGGGCAGCCCGCACGCCCTCACCTCTGCAGGGCATGAGTCTGTGCCACCAGCTCACAAGTCCTCCCAGCTCGTCCAGCCCCTCCCCAGGCCAGGCCGGGCCTTCCCGCCCTCTGTCTGCCCCCGCCCCAGCCCTGCCCGTCACCTCAGCAGCTGGAGGGGACGCAGGACCACTATGAAGTAGAAGGGCTCCATGTCGAGGGCCAAGGCCAGCAGGCCCAGGAAGGCGAAGGCTGTGACGGAGAAGTCGAACCTGCGGGAGGATAGAGGCCGCAGTGCACTCAGGGAACCCGGGCTTCCCCCAGGACCCGCCCTTCCTAGTCCTGCCCTCGGCCAGGCCCCCAGGAGCCACCCGGCACCACAGCCAACCCAGCAACGCCGAGAGGGCAACTCTGCTGCTGCAGGTTTTTTGCTCAGCCAGCCCCGATCACAGTGCGTGACTCAGGGGTCTGACCCCCAGGCAAGATGGCCTGGCGCCCCCTGCCACATGCCCCACATGGGGCCCCGTGCTGGTCTAACGACAGAGGAGGGAGGGGGCCCTAAGGACACATGTGCACGTGCCCGCAGCACAGGCGAGCTGATATCTGGCCACGCTGGGTACCTGAACCACCCCGAGGAAGCCGCCCGGGAGGAGGACAGGCCCCGCCGGTGAGAGTCCCACTGGGGGACGGGACAGAAGGCCCTCTGACATGACAGACACACACGCACATCCTCCTTGTCCCCCCCCCCCGACCCCTTCCCGTGTGCTGATGTGTTTCCCTCTCACGACCAGAGACCTGGTGAGCGTGGCTTGACTGCGCGGCTGAGCTAACTCCAGTGGGTGGGAAGGTGACCCCTGAGCTCTCGGAGGGTGGGGACAAGGGCCGTGAGGGCTCCTCACTGCTGACCACACGGGTGCTGGGCTCCTTCTCTGAGTGATGTGGGGTTTTTTTTTTTTTTTTTTTTTTTTTGGAGAGGTTTTTGCTATAGGGCACGTGCGCTCGCCACACA